AAAAACTATAAACTACTATACATCAGTTATGAACTGGATCTGCGCGACCCCTTTTTGGAATTGAAAACGTGCTGCAGTGTGATGTATCGTATTCAGTGGGAATATCTACGTGTAAACGAACTAGTTTTTCTAGACCGTAAATGTGACATGATCTAAAGTCTAGACAATCACGTTTACATACAACATCCACAGATGGTTTGCTTGTTCGTCATTTCTATCAAACGAATCTTTTTGATTGCTTATTTTGTTAGTTTCATCGGAGCAAAGTTATGAGTTTGCATCTTATTAATAATGTATAATAAATTAATGTTTGGTCATTAAAGATTTTGATAGGCGATTCTTCACAAATTATTGGAGTTATGACAGGCTATATACTTATACGTTTTATGAAAACTTTTAAGATTTAAACTTAAGTACTATGAAATAATATAAAATAATATTGAAGTATAGACTTTTAGTCCTATTTCAAATAAAAGAGTTATATAATTATAAAGGTCAAACATGTTCTAAAGTTTTTAAATATTTGTTTTTTAAACGTTTATTACTGTTCGAGTGTTTTTTATTCTATACCGAATGTAGAACATACCTTAAACCATGTATTATTTCCTTTGTAAGTTCAGCAACCCAATATAAGTAGATCATCCGTCATGGGGTTTGTATTCTCATTAACCTCCCTGGCGGATCTCTTTCAAGTTTTTCACTTGACAGAATTCCACAATATACATTTTTGCTAGGATTCAAACGAAGAAAAATATATATATATATTTACAGTCACAGTGAAATGCTATTGGTGATAGCAGATGTTTGAATAAACTCTAAAACAATACACTTTTTCAGGTTTAATTATATTACAAAATATTGAAATTTGGATTAGTTTTGTAAATGAATATCTGAAAACATCTATAAATAATATGATACGAGCTATAATGCATGGTTTATTGTATTCCCTGTAATTTATAATTTCTACATTTCAGATTTTTAATTTCTGTTTAATGGAACGTATTCAGTAGGTGAAAGATATTTTCATCACTCCTTATCGAAAGTATTTATTTTCGATGACAGCTGATATCAGAGAAAATCGTTGTTTCCCAAGCTCTAATTTGGAGCGAGGTCTAACTTTTCAACCGATTTTCCCTTGCTCTAAATTTACTTTCCTTTGCCCTCGATTAATTCTCTATTTTACCCACTACGCGCGCTAGTGTTTTGTTACGGTTTTTTTAATGATTAAAATCAGCTGTTTTCATTGTTACACGATCTAAATGTATACAGAAATAGGCATTAGTTTATTTACTGTGTTTAAAATTACTCATAATACGTATTTATAACAGTCATGATGATTTAATGAAAACAGCTTCAGAGGTAACTAATGCCCTTCCACCAGAGAAATCACGGGAAAGATATGAAGAGGAATACAGAAAGTTTACAAACCAGTGCAAATTACAAAATGTTTAGTCAACTAAAGTAAGTGATAAAGTGGTTATTAATATATTAATCTAAAAAATCTATAATCATGAAACCATATACGTTGTGAAGTAGATTTTCTTTTAATAATACTAAGATACGTTATTCTGTATGTGTGTATTTTGGATCGTGATTAAAATTATCGTTCATAACTCGTAACAAAAGCTATTTTTCGAGACATGCTCCATTACCCCCGTCCTCGCGCCTTGCCTCGTACGTGAAAATACTTCTCACATGCTCGGCGTTGCCTCACACATGAAACTCGAGCGCGCCCCGGAAATGTCACTTTCGGGCCTAGTAATGAAATATACTATTTTATCTTCCATTGAGCCAATTAACTCAACGCTTGCAAATCAAAGAGACATAAATAAGTCCATATGATACGCCTATGTACCTATGTACTTACCCTCCTTCGTATCGCACACCTTGGAATGATACCCAGATTGTAGTCGGAGCCAACTTGGCATATGCAGTACTCACTCCTATATTCCTCTATGTTAGAATAATTCTGTATTTCTTTAAGTCTGTATTCTACTATTGTTTGTAAACCTTTGGGGATAATTAATCGAAAAAGTCAAGGTATTTACCCAATAGAATAGTTTAAATATTAGTTTCTTCTTTTACAATATGCTTGGATAAGTTAAATTTAATTTCTCACAACCTACTTCCAAACACAATAACTTAAACAATTAATGTGGTAGGCCTAATCCTTATTATCTTAATGAATTGATATGGGGACGTAGTCTATGTGCGCATTTCAACCAAAATATGAATGAAGGTTGAGTTAAGAATGTCTTGTGTAGCTTTTTAACTGACTAGATCAGCTGTTTCATCAGCCAGGATCATTTATTTTAAGCCCAACTATCAGGGACTGCTGGATCCAGTTTTGAACCATCAAAAAGCTACTGTCTTTTCTCTTGCCGGTGACTTTTTAATTGCTAGTGGTCCAATTTTTATTTTATTTAGGCTATGTCAATTGTTTAGTTACATCAAGACCGTTAAAATGATTATATGAACGTCTGTTGACAAACGCTTCTAATAGCAAAATGGCAACAAAAATATAATTGAATAACCCACCATAAAACAGCATTGTATTGTGGTTTAGTAAAGAATAAAGATAGCAATTGTATTAACTTTAAATTTTATTTTATTTAAGGAAACATTTTTTTATCACTCTGTATACGAAAACAGCTGGGTTTCTATACAGCAGAGATCTTCAAAAATCACCAATTGCCATACACCAAAAAACAAATAGTGATCAGCTGACTTTTCCTGACATAAACATTACTTTTGCTACACAAACAATACATTGCCTGACATCAACTAAGTTACAACTGAAGTTATCGGTTACCCCAAAAGGAGCGAGCTCCATTATGTTTTATTTAAAATACATAACAGAAAATTGATTTATTTAAATAAAATTTGTATTAACAAAGTTTACAATTTGCGTTAATATCAAATTTAGACTAGATTAAATAGTTAAGAAAAACGACTAAATCTGACAGAACATAGAGTAGAGAACACTTTTTTTAAACATGTTAACAAACCATTGTGATTCATTTGTTTGTTTTGGCAGTTTGTTGATGTTCAATCAGCTAAATTTTAAACTAAAATTAATTGTACAGCCGTATTGTGTTTAGATTAGAAAAATAAATAGATTACAAAATATCAGATAACTTTCATAAGTTTGATGAAGTAATTTTTTAAATCGTGATAAAAAGTATCGATCAATACTCGTCACAAAAGTCGCATTTCGGCCATCTCGATAGAGTTTCCCATTCTCGTCTTCGACTCGCATGTAAAACACTATCTTGCCCCGAAATGGGTCAGTTGCAGTAGTGTTATAGTAGGGAAATATACTATTTCTAGTTCATGTTATTGGTTATAACGTCCGTGTGGTTAGTAATGAGTGCCTGAAACATCTCCCCATATCAGAAATCTCTGTTTGTTTTAAGGTGAATAATCTTTGGGCACAATTTGTCTGATTTTTATTTTCTTAAGTCCATTGTTGTCAATTGTAATGTAAAAGCTAAAACTACTAAAATTATTAAAATGTTCTATCGGTCTTAAGGAACAAAAGATCTTTGTGCTCGTATACATAAATTTTAGTTGCTATAAAAATCAACTTTTCATGTAAACACCTTACCATTTTGAGGGCACTTTTTCAGTATAGTTGTAGGATTGTAGTAGCTTATAAAATATTTGTTTTGGAATAGGTGTTAAATTCAATAAGTGGAAGCAAAAACTAATTTTGTTGACATGCTTTAATATTTTCAAAAACATTGAGTATAAGCTTTTCAATTATAAATATTAAATTACAAAAATCTTATAGATATTTAAAATTAATGTAATATGTTTCTGTCCTTGCATAGCGTAATACATTGGAAAGTCATACTTTTGATAGTTTTACTGAATTATACTGTCAAATATTGCACTTTTTAAGAAAATACAATATTATTAGCACAACTAAAACTAAGAGATCGCCAAATCACCTCTAAAAACATAAAATAGCTAAGAATAAACACTAAAATACTCGTTCAAGAGTGGAATTTCTGTTTATAAATTTGTTTAACTTTTACATTTGGCACTCTCGTTGTTATCATGTTGACTGTAAACCTGGATATGAAATTAAATGAAATGAAAAATTATTTATTTACACAGGTAAAATTGACCTTTTCATACACTTAATCTGTTAAAGAAACGCCTGGATATGAAGGTTTAAAGAATTTAACCGGTGACTGACTCGAAATGACTTTCCAGTGCTTGAATTAAATAAAATGTTATTTCCGATAAATAGTGATTCCCAAATTTGAGTGTCTTATACTGATGGTCAGTTTAGGAAAATCACGTTTATTATTTAGCAAGGTATAATCGCACAGGAAGATGAACGTCACCCCCTCCCCTCCCCAGCAATAAATATACAAGTTAGCCCAGGGCTGTAAACCGTATTTTAATTGCAAGAAATAAAAATTCCTCTATGCTTAGTCAATTTGCACACCTATAATATTGTCACTATTTTAGCATTTACAGGAAAATCCAAATCATTTTGAGAAATATTATTTATTTTTGTAATGATAGATCTAGACTTGGAGGAAAAAGCTTAGCCAAGAACAAAGTATTTGACTAAAAGTTTATAATGACTGTCGCTCTCAGCTATAGAATAGCTAAATACACCGGGTTCTAAGGAAAACTTGTATTAAACTAAAATATTTGGATTTTAACTTATAAAAACCTGTTGTGAAACAAGATTTTCTATTACATTTTACACAACATGGCCATAATTTATTCAGTATCTTACAGTTGTTCGAAACACTTCTTTCTTCTTTTAAAAAGATTCATAAATAATTTGCTTCACATATGGACTAGCTTATAATCTAATCATTAAGATTTTTTACTGTACATATTCTATGAAGAATAAAATTATTTTTTTATCACAGATATTAATACTAGTATCAAATTACATATTTACAGCCATCAACAAGCGTTAGCTGCAGCTACAACATAGTATTTACGTTGGGAGCCGGCAGCTACAAGTATCGTCAGGACTTCTCCCCATGAGCGATTGAGTAGTGAGTGGTCAGCACAGAGTTCTGACGACGATAGCAAGAGCTGTTGATGTGGACCAGAGTGACGTCACTATACTGGCTCTCCTGCTGAATACAACATATCAGGTAACGGTTGAAATACTTCCGGAAAGCCTTGCTGACGAGATACAAGGCGATGGGGTTGACGCACGAGTTTATGTAGCTGAGACAGAACCCAATAATTCGGAAAGCATGCCAGAAGTCATCGTAGTCGTCGTGAGAGTTCGGATAGAAGTGAAACCACAGCATGAATATGTGATAGGGAAGGAAGCAAAAGATAAAGATCATTACGAAAGCCAACACCATCTTAGCTACTTTCTTCCTCGCTCTGATCTGGTTGGTTTGTCCCTTCCCGTGTTCACCAGGGAGAGTTCGCGTACTCAACACCAAGTGACGTGCCATCAAGACGTAGAAGGCGGCGATGACCCAGAGCGGAATAGCGTAGTAGGCTAAAAACTTGAATAGAACAATCCCTTTTTCGTAGGTAGATCCGAATTCTTGTGGGAACGGTGAACAATACTCTATGGTGTGGTTGTCTTGTACCACTGCTGACTGTACGTTGGAGAATATCGCAGCTGGGAGAGCGAGTATCAATGATACCATCCAGATAGAGAGGGCCGTGACTATTGTGAGGGGTTTGGTGGACATGTGTCTTCTGAAAGGGTTGACGATGGCGCAGTACCTCTCAGCACTGAGAGCAGTCAGGGTGAAGACAGAGACACCGATGGACACATCCTTGGTGGCTTCTGATAGCTTGCAGATAAGAGCGCCCCAAGGCCAGGACTCCAGAGTGTAGAGTATAGAGGTGAACGGCACACAGCTGACGATCACCAGGAGGTCCCCCAGGGCTAGACTCATGATGTACGTGTTGGGGATGTTGCGCATTCGCTTGTGTCGAGCGAAGATGAAGACCAGAGTTCCGTTGCCCAAGACTCCGACGATGAATATGGCAGCGAACACCACAGGAACTATGTAGGTCTCCGGTCTCTGAGAGTAGGGAATGTAGCCTTCCTCCGTCGCGTTGATAGACCCCACTGCCTCCTCTATCTCTGGATCCATTGTCCTGAAACAATTTATTCCATAAGTCATTGGCTTTATACTACACGACAGACAATATATATAGGTGATGGTTCTTTAGAGTATAGAATATAGTGATCTCCGTTGCTTTGGCCAAACCTACTGCCTACTATATATCTGAACAGATCGCATTAAAAATATCCATTCGATGAGGAATTTTTTTTATTTGTATTGGCAGGCACGTTTTATGACTAATTACTGATCCAGGCACAACCTGATCAATCACGTTTAAAGAATCCTGACTCCTTGTTCTCCAATTGGAAAGAAATTATTTTGAAATTTGTTCCAAGAAAAATATTGGCATCTTAACCACTGCCAGAAGCTGTCCGGAAACACTGTAGATGATATATGTATATATTGCGAATTTCCCATTAAGGGACTATGCTACCTGTAGATCTCATAGCAAGACCTGGGCCACAACCTATGACCGATTTACTTTTTCGATTTGATATCCAAGGAGGACAAAAACACACTCCGTCAATACAAAATGATACAAATGTTTTATTTGCTACAAACGTGTAACCCTTACGTTTATATAAACAAGCTCACGAACCAGCATGATCAGACTTTGGGAATGAGTTTTTTTTTTTTTTTTTTGGGGGGGGGGGCAAAAAGGGGGTTCCCCATTCTAACTCTCAAAAAATAAAACTTTGGTATTTCTTTCTGAACTTTTTTGTAGAGTTTGATAAAAACAAATTATTGAGTAAAGTATTTGAGAACCTTAAATAATGAAGATGCAAATCTACGACGGATTATCAACTACAAACCATAGGTTTTATAAGTTATGTATTATTTCTTTTTGTAATTTTTAATAAAATCTCAAATAAAAAATTATAATTTTTTTACTGGACGAAACCAAACATGTATTTTACGGTTCGAAATTGCATACCTACACATAATTATTCAGTATTAATTAAATTAGTAGTCTATGCTTAGTAAAAACTTTTCTTTGTGATATTCATAACAGAATACCACAAGTTTTAAGAAGCAGAGAAAATTGTTTCAAACGAAGAAATCAATTTATTGAAACTTTCTTGTTTGAGGCTAGTACCAGCAAGAAAATAGTTCCAAAACATCTGGTTTCCAACCAATGTTGGGAGAAATAATTAAACTTGCAGACAACTTTGCCCATCTTCAATACTCTGTATTGTTTATTAAACTTGATTAAAACAAAAAGTATCTATCTAGAAACTATTACGCAATAACTTGTAAGGTTATACAGAGAGAGAGAACATTCTCAGTACAAAAATGGGTTGTTCCTATTGTTTCAAAGAAATTTTTAAGAAAAAAAAAACTTCATCTTCGTATGTCTTTTAGTGGGGGCCTTCAACACAGAATAAGTTCTCTTTGGCTAAGCTTCTAAATGTTTTTTGTTTCTTATGTTTGTAAACCTTTTCATTATGCTATGAAAGACTAAGTTGCGGTATTACAGCCTGGCAAAAACCCATCAGAGATTTTCAAGACACAAGACTCAGGAGAAAAGTCCTGCCCTCAAGTTACTTGACCCCACTTTACACCCTGATTAAGATTTTTATTTTGTTGCAATGTTGAAATAGTACAAAAACTGTCATAGAAGTCACCCTGATGATAACCCACCATCAAAACCAAAATCCTATAGTAACAGGGACCCACCAGTTGATCGACAAAATACTTTATCGTTAGAACACTTGACTGTAAACTGACGTCACAGTAATTAGGTCTTAAAGCCGAGTCTACAAACTGAACATAGTGTAAACCCAACCTCATTAATTTAGTTGCTTTGATGCTAATGCATTAGTATAGTAACATAATACAATTACAATAAACTAATCACATACGAATCATTAAAAACTATGGATCAAACAAAACTGATAATTATCCCAGTGCTTTGATAGATCATTTATTTGTTGAGGTATGCTACTGTAGTTTGTAATTACATTATTAAACCTCATTGCATTAACGGCATTACAAGGTCAATGATAGTTATTGCAATCTGAACCCACGATAAAAGAGTGGGTAGTGCTTCAGTGGTATCCATGTCATTAAAATAATATACTAAAAAGTCCATACTTGACATTATCATGAAAAATAAAAATATCATTAACCATATCTATATTCTGATCTTTGGTTTAAGATAATAAAGTAAAATGTTGTTTGTTATCGAGTTTTTCATATGAGGTCTTATATATTATTTCTATCACATGAGAACGAGGTAGGGAGCGAGCTGGTCTAGTGGTTAGAGAGCGGGACTTTGGTCCAAGAGGTCCCGGGTTCAAATCCCACCAAATCACCAATGGATTTTATCCAAGTGATAATGCCGCAACTCCTAGGTATAGCCTGAAGTAATGTGAAAAACAATCCCAGGCTCGTGCCTAGCATCATAGGACAAAAAAATCATATGAGAACATTTCCACCTTTTTATATAAAACAAATCTGGGTTCTTGGTTTATAATTTGGCCTATATTATGAAATTTGCCTTTATTTGCGTTTGATGACGTTTAGTCTAGTTGAATAGAATCTAGGTACAGTAGTGGTCAATCCATAGTGATATATTAGATACTAATAATTATAAATATTTATTTCTGATTCATTGTATTAGTACATTGTTTACAGAAGTTTGAACAAAAATATGAACAAGAATATGACAATAATAACACTGCGGGTACTTGAGACAAATAGTAAAATAGCAAATTTAAATACAGTTAACATGTTCAATTTTCTTTAGGCTTCGCCCAACAAGTCTTGGGGAAGCCTTCGACGTAATCTTCTATTTTCTGTTGTTTCGCCAAAATTGTAAGCCGGGGCTCCAGGAAAATTGTGTCAAGATTTTATAAACTTAAAGTTAGATTTTCAAATGCACGTCGAGATAAAATCTACTCCTAGCTCTTCGTGTATATGTTTATAATGACTCAGCCAACCAGAAAGTATCCACCACCATTCTAAGAATGATGTTTTGGATTACTTTAATTATGAAAAGTTTATTTTTTTAATAGCCAATCCTCAGAAGAGGTGATGCATGTTATTAACGGCTGAATTATTGAATTATAGATTAAAAATGCACAAGCTGGTTTTAGAGTATATTTTCTAATTATCAAAAGAGAAAGCTGTGAAAGGCGTATATAAACATTTGAATGTGTTATTTTACATGGTAGTTCCAATTAAGTTTCTTATCCAGCCATATTCCAAGGAATATAATGGCCAGAACATAAAGGTTCCATGGTATAAAATTGCCATTTTTAATTTCATGTGGCAACGCATGCTTTTTGAAGGAAAATATTGATGTCTCACATTTAGTCGAATAGTTTCCACTGCAATATACTATAAATATACTTTTTTAGATTACAATCAATCTAATTTTGTTGATTTTAATCAGTCTTGAACCATCGAAGAGATCGATGCCTCGAACGTGTGATTCCAATAACATTAGACAAACGTAAATAAACGAACTGAAGGTAAACATCGTAGTATTTCATTTTGTTGCCATGGTGACCAGTGAATGTTTACTTCCCAAAGTTCCACATCAGAACTTGAAAGGCTCGAGGCTAAGATCTTTAACCCGAAATATCCAAATAGCAATGTCAAAAAATATAGGCTATCTTAGCGTGGTTATATTTTGTCATAGTAGTATTGTTTGGAAGTACTATATTATTTTGGATAGTTAAAAAGTTTTGTAATAATATTTGGCTTAGAGGACCACTTTCAAATCAATTGCATGCTTTTAATTTATTTTGAGCGTCTCCCCCAGAAACATAACATATTGATACGGAGATGTCTTTTATTCTTTAAGCCTAGATGGTTGTTAGCTATAGACTAACCCTCTTAAATCTTCATACACATTCTTTTAGTGAAAGCTTATTTGTTCCTTAAATACGTCTCAACGAGCAATATAAAATCTTACATCACTACTCCAACAATATGGTGGTAACGATATATTGGCTGTTGTAGTTAAAATAGTAAGACGCCAATTAACTATAATATCAATTATTATATGATGGTACGTGTTATCTATATTTTAAAGAATTTAAACTTTTTTACATTCGTGAGGGAAAATGTCCGCAATAAACCTTTGAACAACATAAACTCACCATCACCAACAATGAACTTCAAACAAAGAATTTGGTCTGTTCAAGTAAGGTACTGAGGCAGCGAAACACTATAGTATGATTTATTGTGTGTATTAACAGCTATTTCCAATTACCAGTTTAGTGTAAGGGGTGCGTGATGATACAGCTATTAACACTATCTATGCCCAGCATTGCGTGCAAGAACCCTTTATTTGGGGGGATGATTGAGGTAGTTAGGAGATTCAGTTACCCAGGATTGCCTCAGCCACAAAACCTTCAGTAGGGGTGTTCTTTGTCTGGTTTAATTTAACAGCTTCACAATCACCGCCAAAACATTTCTTTGGGTAAATGCAAAAGAACTTCTTGATAAGCCTAATTTGAACCAAGGAAAGAAGTAAAATACAGATAAAATTTACTATTTGTGTGAAGAAAATAAAAAATAAACCCGCGACAACAAACCTGCAGCCGAAGATAATTTCCATTTTCCTGATTGAATTTTGATACAAATTTAATAATTCCTTAAAGCTGTAACTTTTATTTCTTTATTTTAATAGCATTTAGTTTAATGAATATGTGGGTTTGCTGATACAAGGATGGTAGTAAAATGTGTATTTTTAGTGAAATGTTGATATCTTAATGCAAAAAAATTAATTTGCTAAATATTGTCAAAAATATCCCTAAACAAACAGACTACAACAGGTGGGGTTGACAATCTGCCTATGTTTAAGTAATATTTCAGATTATTAAGTGTTTTTTGTGCGTACACCTGGACACACAAAAATACAGATACAACGACAAATGCAACAACTTGTGATATCATAGATTATAAGAAGGTGGGAAAAAAGCTTTCAGGGATTGAAATAGTATATTACGTTACTAACCTAGAAAGTGGTGTTTTACCGAAGCCGAGTGTGGGATTTTCGTGCGAGTACGGTAAAG